TTGAGTCTTATATATATAATAAAGATACCGCAAGACAGATTTATTGATTTAAGTACATGTATTGATAGAACAAGGTTAGAGTCTAAGAATAGCATTAGCTGTTTGAGGTCAGAATCAGAATCATACTGACCAGCTGGGGATAAAAAGTCAGTGTTGTACAAATAGTTCACTAGAATATGTTGACTTATTGTTTAAATCTAATGTCTGATATTGTAAATATACTACTGAACGATAAACAAGGCCAAAGGTGTCAATATGACAGCTAACCGGGTTTTCTTTTGTGTAAACAGTACTGGCATTTCTCACATTAGTTATAAAATAAAAACTTTTTACTCTGAAAACTGTTGGACATGACATTCCAACATTCATGTACCCTCTGAACATATTTTGCATAAAAATGACTAAGTTAAACAACTGGTATTTCTGCATAAATGATCAAAAATGAAAATCTAAGTACCATGCACATCTCTGCATAAAAACTTTCTATCTTGAATTCTGTAGATGGAGTTTGCAGACAAATGATGTACCCTTTGAGCAATATTTTGCATAAAAATGACTAAATTCAACAACTGATATTTTTCTCATTATCAAAAATGAAAATTCAAAAAATCATGCATATCTCTGATATATGTAAAAATTTTCTGCAAAATAAAAACTTCCTATCTTGAAAAATGTAGGAGGAGTAATCTGGACAAATGAAGTATCCAGCTGGCAGCTGCCTAACCACCTGCACACCTGTCAGCTGGCCATTTTCACCATTTAAAAAAAAACACCCCATTTTACCAAAAGAAAACCCAGTTAAAAAGTGCAAAGTGTTCATAATTTTGTACTGTACTTGTTTTCAGCCAAATAAATAATATATATATTTGTTACAGATACATCTAAGTGTTAGGCTAAAAAAAGGAAAAATAAAGTACATCAATACAGGTAGAATGGGGCAAATCCTGCAGGTCCCATTGTTGACACACTGAGGGCTGAAAAAATTTTGCCCAGAAAGATTTGAAAAAAAAAAATTCAGCCATAATAAAAGTTATTAAAAGTCATATTGCTATTTTAGCTATTTTCCCTTTGCTTAATAAACCTAAGTTTTAAATTTACCAACTGAGGATGACATAACGCAGATACAAAATGTTACCTATGTACAATGAAAGATTCTGATCAGATCCTTTTCAACTTACTTGTGGTCTTTTTGTAGTTTTCATTAGTTGGAGATCTATTGATAAGTCTAGCTATGGCATCAGGTCCATCCCGAATGCTTGGTCCACGACCTTTCCCCTTTTGACCCCTGTGACCTTGCTTGGGTTTAGAATAAGCTTCATCAGATGAACTTAGTTCCCCAGCATCTAGACCTTTTAAGAAATAAACTCAATGACTTTTTGTAACACGTTATACATCCTGTCACAAAAATGGCAATTCATTTCAGTTCAAAAAAAAATTATCTTTCGTTTGTTAACTGTGTGCAAACTCAGAAGTACAATCAGTTAGTACTGACAAAGATTTTAAATCACAAGATCAATGTAGTGGATGCTGCTGCATTAATCAACAATAAAGAATTTGTCATGGTTGTACATCTAAAGGTGTGCAGGTATTGTTAAATTCTGATCAAAGAGAATATAATGCACATAATCTGCATTTTCCCTAGTTTGATCAGAGATAACCTGCACTATATGTACTGTGTGACTTAACTGCTTCTGACCCGTGTGTTCTTTATGACTTACCTGCTTCTGATCTCAGGCAGGTATTGGGCATGACATGATTATCGATGAGACTCACAATCTTCATATTACTGTGAATGAGGGCTAATGATCGAGCTGTGTCCCCATTGTGGGCCTTTGTAAACACATTTACTCCCTACAACAGTGATATAATCACACTAATGTCGTATATATTTTACTTTGAATAGTAAGTTAATCAGAGATCTTAAACAAGCTTGAATCTTTTGATAAAAAAAAAATTGATATTCAGTTAAGACACAAACTTCTTTTTCTGACTAAATGTTTATTAAGAATAAATCTATTTCTGATGTGATACGAGGACACTTTTCTCTGACCAACTATTCACTAAGAATAAATCTATTGTTTACGTGATGCAGGAGAAGTTGAACAATAATTTCATGCCCCTCAGCTGCAGCCTCCATAAAGGGAGTTAATCCATGACTTGGTTCCCTGAAAAAAAAAAAACATGTATATCAAATGCTTAAGAAATTGGGTAAGATTTAAAGAATGATATTCTACTTTTATTCTCATACTTAATTCAACTTACACAGCATTGATATTGGCTCCCTGCTCCAGGAGAAATTTGACCATGTTCTGGTGTCCAGCATAGGTTGCATGAAACAGGGCATTCCAGCCTTTATGATCTCGAGCTTCTAGCTCTGCACCTTGCTGTATTAAAGTTATATTTTGACAGTAAGAAATTAATCTTCCATTTACACAAGTAACAGACACAGCACTGTAAAACCATATTTTAAACCGGCATGACTTAATGCTAAGATTGTATAGCCTGAAAAAATACTTTTAATTTTGTTCTATATAATAAATAATGGTTAATAAATTCTATTCCATTTTCAATCTACACATTGTTGGTTTAAATTCACACAGTAATCTTTTCTGTCTTCTTTCAATATATTGAAGATCAGAAGATTTAAATGATAGAACAAAATACAACATCACAAACCTGCACTAGAAAATAGCCAACACTTTCATTTCCACAGCTAGATGCTAGCATCAGAGGGGTTTGCCCTTTATGGTTCTTGACATTCACACTTACACCAGCATCTAACAACAGATTGACAATGTTGTCATGGCCAATATAACAGGCATACATAAGGGGTGTCCATCCTCCAACATTTTTCTTGTTCAAGTCAACTTTCCTGCAAAAAAATAAAAAATAAATAAATAAATAAATAAATAAATAACTGATCTGATTCTTTTTTTGAAATTTATTAATAATTACATTATTTTGCTATGTAAACATTTTTCTGCTATATAAATAGAATGCTGCACACACAATTTTGATTCCTCTTTCTTCAGAGACCAAAAAAATATATATCTTTCATTATCAATGACATGTAAAAAGAAATAAAAATCTATTAATTCAGATAATTACCTGGAAATGTATGACCTAACAACATCATACTGTCCAATACTAGATGCTGTGTGAAGGTCCAACGGTACTGGGTCAAACACATCTTTGACATTCCAGTTCCATCCCTTCCACACAGAAAGACTTCGGTCCAGAAGTTCATTCTCTGAGGACTCATCTGATGCCTCATACTGGTTATCTGCTTCCTGGGCCATGGTTTTTCATGTTGACATAGCCATTCAACTCACTTCTAAAACATAGGTAATCAAAGATTATGTAGCTCACCTCGATGAATGTTATCTATAAGTAAGGCAAATTTCACAACATATTTTTTTTCTAGTTAGGGTACATCCCAAGATCAATATCCATGCAAGTTTGATTTAAGTAGGACTTACAGTTACTTGGAAATAGACCTGCTCAAAACTCTTTTAACCTGTTTAGTAATCAAGAAAATTTTATTCAGTTCCAACATCCAAAGCAAGTCTGGAAGTTTTCATCCTTAGATGCACCATCTATGCAAGTTTAATCAGAACAGGCCATAATATTATATAGCTACTCCAAAAATATTACCCTGGTCACTCATCTGGAAAATGTAGGTCAGATTCAGAATCCAAAGCAAGTCTGGAAGTGTCCATCCCTAGATACATCATCCATGCTAATTTTGTTTAAAATATGGCTAAAATTCACTCATGTGGAAAATCTAGGTCAGATCCAGCATCCGAAGCAGGTTGGTAAGTGTATCCCTAGATGCATCATCCATGAAAGTTTGGTCCAGGTAGGGCTTATAGTTACTTGGGAATGGCACTGCTCCAAAATCTAAACCTGGTCTCACATGTGGAAAATCTAGCTCAGATCCAGCATCCAAAGCAATGTGGTAGTGTCCATCCCTGAATGCATCATCCATGCAAGTTTGGTCCAGGTAGGGCTTATATTTATTTGGGAATGGCCTACTCCTAAAACTTTAACCTGGTCACTCATCTGGAAAATCTAGCTCAGATCAAGCATCCGAAGCAAGTGTGGTAGTGTCCATCCCTAAATGAATCATCCATGCAAGTCTGGTCTAGGTAGTGCTTATAGTTTCTTGGGAATGGGACTTGCTCATAAAACTTTAACCGGGACGCCGATGCTAACGCTGACGCCGGGGGTATAGCATAAGCTCGTCTCGACTTCGTCGAGGTGAGCTAAAAATATACCATACAATGTACACTCTGACTACAGTACATCCCCTTGCAAACAATCACATAATAAAAAAAAAGTTTCCTAATAAGTACATTTTTCTACATTAACCTTTCAAAATCTATCTCCATAATGCATTAAGTGAAATGAAGAAAACACTATAATTCCATAGTGGTGCATGATAATCTCATTTTAAGCAAATTATAAAAGTTACAGCATACTGCAAAATAAAAATATGATGGACTAAAAGGCACTCTCTAAATAATGTTTATGTCAAATACAAGAATGTTTTGACGAATATGTGGGCCTTGTGTGTTATCCAGTCTATTTTTGGATTTGATCAGCTGTTTATTTTACATGAATTTCCCCACTGCAACTTAAGATATCCATCAGATAATATCAAGTTATTCTATGAGATCATAGTTCGAAAAGTTATAAACTACTTACATACGATGTTCGAGATAGACGAGAAGGTCAGGGAAAGAGAAGATAAATCAATATACTTTTCTCTTTGCTCCTTCCAAAGTTATTAATAGTGAATACCGATCCCGATGAATTAATGAATTTAAAACAAAAAGTATGATAATGTAATTGCAATTGGCATTGATTTGATACTGCTTAAAATGTTAAAAATTTCGTTTTGGCTTTTGGAACATGTTAAACGTTTGATAATATTGAGTAATGAGATATTAACTGTAAATAAAATAAATGCGATCGGATTTGAAATTCTGAAAGATTGTTGATCATCCGGGGATTTGATCGCAGACACGATGATTCGAAATTCCACCAATGCCATATCGGTCGCAATGTTTTGATATGGAATATGTATTTGTGAAGACTTTATTTCACTGACTTTGGTAGAAGAATTTTTTTAAATTCACTTGGTAAACTTTTGCTAATGTTATTACATACATTGATATTTCATATTGTATAGAAAAGTCACTCTCTAGAACAGTTTACATAATTACCATGGCACCGATTTGTCAAATTGATATTGTCATTTTACAAAAAAAAAATTGTATCGTATTGTTGGTTTTAAAATATATATGTATTTGTTTTGTTGGACTTAAAGGACACATATAACGGAATTTTGACTTCACACCAATGCTGTAAAAGTAGGTCAACAGGTCCATTCGTGTAAGAACATATCGTGAAAATTAAATGGTTAAAAGAAAATAAGGCATGTAAAATACAGGCACTTTCCTTGCATATTTTAAAAGGTAGCGATATGTTTTTTTTTTCTTTTTGGTGAAATGGAAAACAATTACCTAAGAAAATGAGGTCATATACATAATTCTATAGATGTTTCCTTCTGTACCCTTAAGAAAGTGTGTGTGTATGTGTGTGGTGGTGGGGGTGTCACATGCATAGTATTAGGACAATTTGTAACTATTAAAATATTTTTTTAGGGTATAAAAATGGACTCAAGTGATGACAACAGTGACAATGAGCTGTTTTTGTCAGCAGCAGGTGGAGTTAACAACCTTCCAGATTTTCCTGTTCCAGAACAGTCTCATTTAAAACCAAAGTTAGATTCCATATTTGCTGAAGTGGAGAAAAATCTTCCATCCATTGATTTTGACCTATCAGATGTAAGAATTTTTTTTCCTTTGGACAGAATGTTCCGAATGAACCTATTTCAATTGTTCTATTTATTGTTATGGTTTTTATATTGATTTACTTATACAATATCATGCCCTGGTATTCCTTGAAAAAATGTGCAGAAACTGATGGGTAGACTTTACTTTACCGGTCCCCAGATCCGCAAGATCCGCGCGCTCATTGCACTATGACGTAAGATTTACGTCACTCTACTGATAAGGGTTAGTCTTGCACATTTTTTGACTGGTTAGGGTTAGTCTTGCACCCACCTGAGAGATTAGGGTTAGTCCTTGCACAAGTTTTCAACTGATTAGGGTTATGCAGTCTCGCATCCATCTGAGAGATAACGGTTAGTCCTCGCAAATGGGATAGTCTAGCATCCGCCCGGGAGATTTGGGTTAGTCCTTGCATACCATCCGAGGGATTAGGGTTAGTTTCTGTTTGTTTGTTTTTTTTAGATAAATTAAGAAATTCAGTTGCATATCTGTATTTTTTGCAAGATCTAAATTCAGCTTTCACGACATCTCTTTGGTTTGTTTACATGAAAAAATGGCTAAGTACGAAAGAAACGGCACTAAGCATGCGCCGCACGCGCTTCGTTGACAATTATTTTTCGTCTCCTTTTCACTGAATAAATAATATTAATCACTTTTTTTTCAGAAAACTTGGTTAAAAACTTCGTTTAAAAACGAATTTTTAAACTAAACTTTTAACCGTAGAATTCGATTTTGGGGTCAAAAAGGCTAAAAACCTCATACTTTTAATTTTTTTCGATCGCTCACGCGATCTCATATATATACTGAAGTTGCCTACGGAGACACTATATTTTAGCGCGTTTTTCTGGGGACGGGTAAAGTAAAGTTGTTCCAAACTGACTGTGGAAGTAGAAACTATCCTATCCTATTGCAGCAAATGTAAAAGACTTAGATAGGCAGTTATAATGATCATAAATTTATTTCCTCATTGTTTCTCTCGTGTCTTATTCACAAACAAAATTGATATTCTTTTTGTATAAATTCTCTTTGTATGTAGGTAAGCTCTGACAATGAGGATCAAGAAATATTCCACAGGTCTTTGTTCAACACTTCATTGTTTGATGATGACAAAGACCTTGACACAAGTCAGACTGGGGATTCCTTCTCCGAACTTCTGCGGCCAAATGTTGAATCTCTTTCACTCACAAATATTAGACTAGATATGGAAACAGAGGTTTTGGAGACATGTGAAAATGACACAGACACTGCTAGTGGACAGCAACAAAGACCAAAATACCAGGGAGGAAAATCCACAAGTTGGACAAAGACGGTTATTGAGGCTCATGATGAGAAGGACAAATTCAAAGAGAGAAAACCTGTCAGTAACAGTTCCACCCAGGTTACTACTGAATGTCAGACTGTTGAGGATCTGGTTCCATTGGCTGGTGCATTTAGTGCCATGGAGCAAGAGCTTCTTATTGAGGAGAGAGCGGAAACAGTTAGTGTAGATGAAGAACTGGAAAAACATGAAAAAGAGTCAACTAGTGAAAGAGAAGTCAAAACTGGCTCCTCATCATCTGGGGTCGGGGTATATAACTCTGGAGATAAGCGTATGAACAGAATGGTCACTGCTGAGGAAATGAGAAGGAATGAAAAAGAAATTGTGTCCAATATAGTCTCTCCCTCTCCTCCAAAACTCCTCTCAAATAATCTTAATATAGGTAAAAACTGCTGCAGTAATAGGTATAAAATAACAAAACATGTTCTTGAGTTCATGAGTTTAATTTATTTGTTCAAGAAGTATAGAAAAATTCATGACCTGATTTTGAAAAAAAGAATACCCAACAATGGCTCGAATATGAATAAGAAGGTAAAACAATTTTATTGATCCTTTATGTTTTAGATCTGATTTTGTGTACTCTGGATGAGGCACACCAGCTGAATTCATCTGTCCCTCCTGTAGTTAGAGAGGCATGGGCTAGACAGCAGAGGATCCAGTCACTGATAGGGGCTGGGGAAGGTTCCAACAGATTTCTTAATGAACACAAAGGTATCTTATTGATCCAGAGGACCCACATACACAGTCTATTCTGTGTATCTAAAGATTGAGCTTAAATGCAACAAACAAGAATTTCCAATGAAGATAATTCATAATTTTTCAGACTTGTCTGTAGTATTCATTTACAGTGGGACTTAGTTAATCTGTATAATAGTGTTCCCAAGCATATTGACTGGATTAATGAAGCTCTTGAACTACTTAAACGTATTGTTTATAATTGGTAGATATAAATGTAAATTTTGTTCTCCACAAATTCTGTCTGGAAGGTGGAGCATCTGGATTATTGGAATCCAGATTACTGAGGCTCAACTGGATTATGATGTGTTTCAAAAAAATGTCATTTAAGTGTATAATTGAAACAATAAATGTACGAGCCATAAAGCTTAAATCAACCAATGTCATGTGTACAATTTTATTTGAAAATATTTAGAAGAGGAGAATGCTCAGTCCCAGACTCTGATCCAGAGATTAGCTGAATACTCGATGAAACAGTCAGGGGAGGATCTTACTGATATTGATCCAATGACTGGAGCCAGGGCGACCAGAGACAAGGATGCTGATATCGTTGATACAGATAACAAGTCCAGAAGTCCTCTGTTTACCAGGAGGAAACCACCTCCCCACGAGCAGCCTGGTAAATTATCCTGATCAACAAGTATCTTTAACATTGGTGATTCAAAGTAGAAAAATGTTTGATTGAAATGTAATGCAAGTTAAACATCATTGAATATATCTTATTTTATTTTGTCATGCAGAAAAAATTCAGAAATGCATCATTATCATCTGTTCAATTTAAATTTTAGGAAAGAAAACCACCTCTGCTAGCTGCGGCACAAACACAAGCAACAATGATGGCCCACTGAGGATTATAACACCCACACCAAAGAACAAACTGGAGGCTGAAAAAAATCCAGGTAAGGTATAATGACTTGATGTGGTTGGTCACAGGTATAATGCAAGTCGAATAAAGATTCTTACAACATAGATAAGTATATGGAATACACATAAGGATCACATTCCTTTGACAATGTTAATACTTAAAAATATCAATGCTTATGGGGAAATGTTGTACTTCAGAACCTAAACGAGAAAGAGAGACTGTATTCATTGACCTGAGAAACCATGACCAAAAGATCAAAGAGCAACAACAGAGTATTGAGAGAGTCCAGCAAGTACTTCACATCAGTCAAGAAAGGTAGAATTCTGCAATCAAATATGTATGATTTTCCTATCAGTGACTGTCATAATTCAAGATTTACAATGAAAGATTGAGTAATATTTTCATTATATACATGTATATTTTGTGTAGAAGTTTGGGCTATATGGACTGTGGATATTGGCCTAGGTAGCTCATTGGTAGAGCACCTGGTGATACAGTGGTCCCGTGTTCGATTCTTGGTCAAGCCATATATATTTTCTCTATTCATTTCTCCTTTCCTACTACACTTGGAAGGATGTCGGTATGAAATTTAGATAAAACGTTAACTTTGGATTTTCTTTTTTAGCAGTGAAAGTAGTGACAGTGAGTCAGAGAATGATATGCAGGCATGGTTTGAACAGAGGAAGCGAATGAAACAGACTTTGGCCTCCAGAGGCGTCAGTACAGATATTCTACCAAATAAGCCTACACTTGCAAGGTAAATTTATCATTTGCATATAGGTTAAAGAAGTTTATCTTTATAAAAACTACTACAGTATAATCAGTACTGGGTCATTGTGTGAGATTATTTTCTCTGAAATGACTTAGTAATTATGATTAACAGATCAGAACCAATCAAGCATCCAAACAGGGTAATTAACCTGGCAGAACTGGACAACCGACTTGCAGCCAAAGTTAAACCAGATGAACCTGAGGATGAGCTGACAGAAGAACAGAGAGCAGCTATAGAGAAAGAGAAGCAGATCAGGGAGGAGGAGAGAGAGAGGCAGAGAAAGATTGAGGAAGCCAGGTACGTCATCAGAATGTGTGGATTGTTTGATTTAGTTTCAAATAGGTATTTCTTTAAAAATCCAAATCCTCTGATCAAAATAGATCTGAAAGTCATCAAAGTTATTTTTTCAGTGTATGTAAATGTTTATACTAATGTAGTCTAGCTGGAATATTTTTTTTTAATGCTGCTTTAGGAAACAAAGAGAAGAGAGAGAAGCAGAAAGACAGAGTCGTTTACGGTTAGCTAAGAGACTTGAAGTTCTGAAACCAACGGCTTCTGTCAGTGGTAAACAAGACTGTGCCGAGACAACTCCAGTATTGTTTGACGTTGTGAGTAGTTGAAAGACAGGTTTTGAATTTTGGAATTTGGGAAATTTTTGTGGTTGAGAATTTTGTCTATCATTGTAAGTTCATCAATAAAAGGAAAGTATATGGTATCAATATATTGTCATGAATCTGTTATATTTTGCTTTTTAAATTGTAGGAAGTGTCCTATGAGCCAGCCCCTTCAACACTCCCCCCATTCCTACCTTCTGATAAAGAAGTTCGGCTGTTGACAGTACATCTGTCCAGTAATGGGGAAATCATTTTACACAGAGGGAAGTCCAAGAGTGTTGACACAGGTCAGTGAGAAACATTCTTCATGTTTTACTTAATGTTTTACACACATGTGTAAAGGTCAATTTGCTAGTTTCAGTAAAAAGTAAGTACATGCTTCCCTCCTTAATGAGTACTTCTCTTGCTTTAGGACTTGGTCTCTCTGCCTCTTATACCGTATTGCTGACCTGGTTATTGTCCATGGTCCCTGAGAACTATGACTTCCTCATTAAGAAGCCAGAGGAGCTGGAACAGGTGCCCTTTTATCCCCCTTTCTATGTGCTTGGGATGCAGCAGCTATGGATGGATGAAGATCTATGTCTTGTGGTTGCTGTTACACCCCATCCACAGTGTGACTCTAAAATCATACCCAACAAACAGAAAAAGTCCAAAACCAAGGTATCTCATTGACTCATTTTAGCTGTAGCAAGAAATATTCAGAAATAGTTTCTGTTTAGATTTGTTCTATCGATAATTTTTAAACACAGTTAATATATTAAATTGAAAGAAACACACATATACTTGTATGTAATAAATTGGAATAGTATGTGGTTGAAGTAAAAGATAAAGAAAATACTTTATTTAATTATTTATTTTACAAGTATTGATGTATTTTGTAGCTGAAGGATGAAGTGAAGAACAATTCTCCATTTCAACAGTTCCTCACGAAATTTCTCTCTACCAATACTCTCCACACTGTTTGTCCCTGGTTACAGGCAGTGGTCCCTATAGACATTAGCTGCCCCTCCCAAAACCCAGAGGATACCTCCACATATGTATACAGGGCACCTCTACCTATAATCACAACCAAACCTCTGTCTACATTTATACAGATGAATCCTGATCCCAAGGCTGCTCAAAAGGTGTTCAACACACCTGTGGGTTTCTTCTGGCAAACAGTGGACAATGAGGAATCTTCATTTGATCATGGACTTAACGACGGTGATGTGAATTATGACACTCAGGTCACTATGTCTCTTGTTTACAAGAAGATTTTCCAGGAACCTCCAGCAATGTCAGGTATCTTCAACAAGATTATGCAGGAAGGGCTGGATTTATCAGGGATCAGACTTCTGTTCCCAGTGCAAGAACTTCTGGATAAGCCAAGTGTGCCAAATCAGACCGATCGTGTTCAGTCAAATATCGAGTTCTTAAACAAAGTAGGCCCAGTATTGGCCTTAGGACTTCGGGGTACCTTTGCTCGTGCTATCTGGCTGGATGCTGTGGGTCCCACAGACCCAGCTCTGGCCCGTAAGACCGATCCTAACTCCCTGTGTGCTTTGTTTGGAGGTGCATCACGAGATGAATGTTTGTTATTTACCCCTAGAAATCCAGCGCGGATCCATTCAGAGCTCACTCGCTGGTTTGCAGGAAGGGTGCCACCAGGTGGCGTTATTGATGTGGGAACACCTTACACAAGGAAAGATCATCTTAGGTTTGTTGTGTATTCAGATAAATTAAGCTTGCCTTTTTTTCCCCTTTAAATGATCAACTTCAAACTTCTTTGTTATAATATCAATTATTTTTTGAGACTTGATACGTGAAAGAAAGGGACATATTTGCATTTTATGTCAGACCAATTTGAATTAGTTTATGGCAGTGAAAGCTACATTTTCTGTTATATCTAGTTTTTGAACTTAATTACTTGTATATTTATTTTACACAATTTTTGGAGAGATTTTTGCATTTATTACAATATTTTTGCATCAGAGGTTACATTTGTTTAGTGATATATTGATACTGAATTTTTGTCAAAAACAGACCACGGTTTTTGTTACTTTAATGGAATCTACCTGATACAAACAGGATTTTATGATCTTTTTATAAATGGTATTTGCATTCAATGTTATATTAATAATTTAGATCTGGAAGTCCCAAAGGTCAGAGGGCAAAGAAAGGCTCCTCAAGTTCTGATTTATCTGAGGAAAGAACAAATCCAACCATTGGGCAATCAAAGAGGAGCTCCTCCCACCACAGTTTGAGTGATAGCCACACTCAACACCGCCCACCAGCAGGTCTTACAGCCACCACCAAGAGTGAAATCATTCTGGTTATCTCCCCTGTGGTCAGACCTCAGTATATTGGTGTCATCATGGCCTCCTGCCAGAGGAAGGGATTTAGGATCAGGGGAGTTAAGAGACAGAGGCTCACCTCCAAAAAGGTGTCCAGTCTGGGTAAGGCCAAATATACAGCTGAACTTGGATATCTCAAACACTGTTAACCTCGAATACATAGAGGATATTCAATGTTTTGTAGATGAATATTGAATTTATTTCACGAGTGGGACAGGATTTTTTGATATTTTCATGAGTGCAAAGCACATGTGAAAATATAAAAAAAATCCTGTCTCACAAGTTAAATAAATTCAATATTCATCTTCAAAACATTGAATTTTCTGTTTATTACATTTTCTTTGATTTTCCCTTTGACTCTGTCTTTTCGTAACAGGGTGTCATAGGCTGTGACGTCATAGTTGAGCAGTTGAGACGTCATAGCTAAGCGATTGCAAGATTGAACAAGATCATCATCTGATGTGTTTGTGAAACACTATGCACCCAGCAGCAACAAAGTTCGAAAAAGCTATTTTTAGCATATAGGTCACAGTCAAGGTCACAAGGTCATTGACCATAGTGTCATTTGAAAGAGCTTAATTAGTGGATCATGCATACCAAATATGAAGTCTCTATCTCTCATGGTTCAAAAGTTATGGCGAAGGTTAAAGTTGACAACAGACAGACAAACAGACAGACAGGACAAAAACAATATGCACCCCCGATCTCTGAAAAAACATTGTAAACATGGATTTTTAACAACATATTTGGAGAAACTTTGGCAGTTTTAGTCTCTGTCAGGATGGTTCATTTACTCTCTCTTTCTTATAACAGGCCAGGGAGTTTTTTTTAAAAAACACTATTCGTGATGGGAAGGAAAATCGAGTGTTTTGCCGTATTTCTGATATTCTCACACTGTGAGAATACCATTCTGATATCCTTTCACACTGTGTCAGAATATCACTTTTATTCAATAAATAAATTACAGTATTTCACTGTTGAAAATGTAATAAAATGGATATGTAGAGTCCCAAGCCCTTTTTCTTTAAGTATTTTACCCTCAATATCTCAAACTCTTGGATATCTCAAAGTTTTTTCTCGGTCCTATCAAGTTCGAGATAATGAGGTTTGACTCTATGTAACAAGACAATCAAAGTGAAAATATATCTTCTCTGAAGTTCAGACTATACAATTTCCAGCATGTTTAATTTGGTATTATTCTATCACAGTCATTTACATTTTATATTATCTGTACACAGGTATTGAGAGTACTTTATTGAGCACTTTTTGTCCTGGAGTGTCAGACATGCAGGTGCCCTCTGCTGCCAGTAAGCATGCTGAGGCCACGTCTCCATGCTTCCTTCTGCTGCTAGAGAAGGAGAATGCTGTACATAATGCTGCTAGCTTGATTGAGTCCTGTATGATTCAGCTAACTCTGAAAGGACTAATGGGTAAACTAGAAATTCTGAGCATTTGTTGATCACTAACAGTTGAAATTGAAGACTTTTGTTTCCATAATATACTACATGAAAAAAAATTCTATATAATGATACTGTATCTGCAGTTATGTCCTAGTCACCTCAGATACAGCTGTTTTTAAGCAAACATTATTATTTATTATCTCCTTGATATTGATGGGTTTTTTTTTCTTCAGAAAATATGCAGAATACTGTGGATCACTATTTAGAGTCCAAGCACATGTTTTACTCAGCTCGATACTCTGACAATTTACTGGCCAGTCTTGGCGGGGATTTTTCTAAGGCAAGTCTAATTAATTCAGTAAGAGTGTTTTCAGTTTTGTTTTATAAATACACATTGTAAATTAAAAGAAGGCGTATGAAAAATTTTGTGGTTATAGTGAATAGGTCTTATGAAATAAAATAAAACTTATTACCTTACAGTGTGTAGACCATGAGATACAAGTGAATCCAAATTTTGTTGTGCCAAAGCTGTATACAAACCCTGAACTAGAACAAATAGTGATACTTTTACTGCTGGGACATGAAATCCAGAAAAACTCAGGGATGTTTGTAGGTCAGTATCAGAAACAGATTAACAGTTTTGCTATAACCCCAATTCTTGGACCAATGTTTTCAGGAGCATTGAAAGTGAACATAGACTAAATATATAATACCAAGATTTTGTTCAGTTTATTATATACGTGTAAAGGTACATGTACTTTACAAGCAGAGAAATAACTTAAACTGGCATTTTCATTTTTGGCTCCCCTTAATGAAATTAGAGAAAATCCCAAGTTACATTTTGGAGAAGGTTACTATATATATATATATATATATATATATATATATATATATATATATATATATATATATATAAAGCAGATATGGTTATAAAAATAAATATTATTAAATCTTCATATGAAGACAGACTCTGCCTCACAATTGTGTGACGTGTCAATATGAGTATATGTGATCAATAGATACTCTGTCACAGGTAAACTTTTGGGTATGGTTCCCTATGGAAAGTTGACCAGTGTGGTACCCTTGAAGGAGGGCTTTGAACTTCTGGGGATGAAGTGGCTGCCCGGATTAACCACATCCCAGGCAAAGGAGGTGACCCCTTGTGAAGTTGGAGACAGGCTCTGGAAAGAAAATGTGCACACTCTAATGTCAGGTAAATAATTTTTATAAAGGACAGTTAGAGTTTATTTATTACATTACTATTGCCTGTGTACTGTACACCTTTTCCACCAACTTTTAATCCTAAAGAGAAGTGTGTTATAGGACAAAAAGGGCATTTTTGCCTCAGCATGCAAAAAAAATTGCTATTGCATGTACTTTGCAGTTATCATCATGTCAGAATAGTTAAAATTTACTGTAATTTTGTAATTAAAAGTATTTTTCAAATGCATTTTACACCAGATATTAGGAGAAAACTTTCAACTGTTTTGTTGTCCCTTCATGATTGCTGGAATGTGTAGTAGGTATTGCTTAATGGTTAAATTCTTTAGGAAACTAAATCAGTTGGATATCTTCTGGTCAGATAAGACAGACATTTTTTAAACACAGTGGGATATTCTACAGAATAGAAGCAGTGGTTAATTATCCGCCGCAGGTTGTTAGAATGTAAACATGGGGAAATGAGACATTATTCTTTCATTGGTTTGATGGAATAATTTCTCTTTGATGTAGCATACATAAAAATTATGAATAAAAGTTTTTAAAATTTGCTTTATACTAAGTCTAAATGGTTGCAATTACCTTTTAATTTGTTTTTCATTTCTCATCAGATATTTATTAATTATAGTCACAGAATGTGCACATGGGGAAATGAAGCATTATTTTTTCATTGGTTCGATGGAATTATTTCTCATTGATGTAAAATACATAAAAATTATGAATAAAAGTTTTTAAAATTTGCTTAATAGTAACCGTCTAAATGGTTATTATCTTTTAATTTGTTTTTCATTTCTCATCAAATATTTATTAATTTTTGATTGTATAAAAAGTTGTTACATGGGAGTGTGTAAGATAAACACAAAATGTAATGAGTTTCTGGATATTTATTACAGAAACAAAATGATTAATTAATATCGAAAAATTTAAGAAGTAAATACACTACAGTTGCAAATGACAAAATGATATTTTTTCTGCACTTCGCATTTATTGTGATACATGTCTATCAATGAAAACATTATCATTATCATTTGACAAAGATCCAGGGTATAAGCACGTAAAAAGTTCATCCTTTACATCAGAAATCAATGAGATATTCTTAATTATTGATTTTAGATATATGTTATTCTTGTCTTCTTCATCTTGTAAGAAATAATTTGATGATAATATAATCCTATCCTTTATCTCCAATTTCAATATCCATGACTTAATTTATTTTTGATTAATGATTAACAATTCACTGAAAATCAAAATATTTAAAAAACACAGGAAAGTAAACTAAGTGTACAGTTTTGCAAGAAAAATGTATTGTATACTTTTTCTACTTTCAAATTTACATTTTTTTTTATTCCTTCATTAGAAATGCTTTAAAATGCTAAACATTTTAGCAGCTGATTTGTTGCTTTGCATCATATTCACTTGTCTTTATTCTGCCACACATTATAGAAGGAAGTAAAGGACTTCATTAGTGGATCACTAAAGCGTGTTTGATTGTACATGCCAGTATGTAATTGGTATTCATTAGGCAGTGGATCTTTATTTACTAGTGTTCATAAAATGAACCAAAAATGTGGCACTCTTTGAAAGAGTGAAACGGTCTAAAAGATGTTTACAATTAAAAATCAACCAGATTTGCTTGAATATCATCTTAAGAGTTTGTCATTTCACTGCACAGAACCTGCTCTTGTGTTGGCACTTAGAGGGATAGATGCCTTCCATCGTCTGGAGGCCATGGTTCCTCTGGCTCAGCCAGGTAAGGGTAAAGACTCCCACATAGATTACATCATGTCCAGGAATGCTGAGGAATCGTATGGATTTGCCAGGGCTTTCTTCACTGACAAAGAGATCTTCTCAGATCCTACAGCCAGACACTTGTTAATGTACCTTCCCCAGATTCGGCATCACATTCAGGGGTTTGGATCCAGGTATGTATTTGATTTTTATGAATATAGGATAGCTATTATTACACATTGAAGAATTTGTGAAATCTATTTTTACACATTTTTTAAATTAAATGTACTAATTTACAGAAAATGAAATTTAAATAAATTTTTCATTAAGGTGCAATATCATACACATGCTACTCCCAATGATAGGGCATACTGAAATTAATGGATTGGCATATAGATACTCTATGTGTATATGTATTTAAAAAAAACAAGCTTTATATTTTAGCAGCTTTGGCACAGACAATGATGCCCTAATTCATGAATACCATTAATAAATCCTTTATGAATACAATATACAGCACGGACATGTGTAGCACTAATTCATGATTATGCCAACCACTACATACCCAGCGATTATGCTAAATTTTGAACATCAATTTAGTACATGTGCAGTAAGTACAATGTGTATTTTTTGTGTGTTACAACAGGTCTCATTCAATAAAGACGGATGTAATGACAGAGTCCATGTTTGATGTGATGCTCTCTGGACCTCAGCCCATCACTACCGTCCTGGTCATCAAACCCCGTGCCGTGAAAAAACACCTGACAAAGATTCTCCGTAAGATCATGCTGGAAGGCTTCACTGTGGTGGGACTGAGGTTAGCAGTAGTTAAGGAGGAGGAGGAATTACTCAGCCTCATTGATGAGGACAGAGAATTGGTAAGGGGAAGTAAGACTTAGTAAATCAACCATAAATATGTCAAAACTATTTTCCAGTGTTTAATTGTTTTGTTAGTTCAGAATGCCTAAAAACCTGCTTTTGTAACAAGATTGCACTCTAGTTTCAAGGAGTTTTCTTTTTGAGAGATAAAGTAGATTAAATTATAGATTAGCATATTGTGTACAGTGTATTTTTTAAAAATAGGTAAACATCTAATACATGTATGTGAATGAGAGAATAAATGAGTCTTACATAACTGTACTTGTAGGATGCTGAGAGGTTGGATCAACATAAGAAGTACTTGTGTTCTGGCCCTTCACTTATCCTGGCCCTGGAGAGAGAGAATGCTGTGAAGAGACTGTTAGATTTACTGGGGCCCTGTGATCCCCTCAGTGCGCGCCGCCAGAGCCAGTTTCTGTGGAGGGGGACCTTTGGGATGGATGTAGTTGCCAATGGTCTTCATGGTGAGTTATGTACATTACATCACACAAACAGTGAACCTCGCTATCTCAAACTCAAGACCGAGAAAAAAACTTCGAGATACCTGATACTTCCAGATATCAAGGTTAAAATACTTAAAGTGACACTGTGGCGGACAAACGGGAAAATTGACAACAGTAGAATTTTTGCATGATACATGCAAATTTTGTTCAGTTCTTGAAGATATTAGGTTTCAGAAAATTACAGGTTTCAGAACCTAAAAAATCTAATTTAATGGAGAAAAATAAAAGTTAAAAACTGTGTATAACCCATCACAAAAATATTGCTTCACTTCTTCCTCTTTATTGTACGCATGCGCTGAAAAGTTGGAAGAATTTACCATGGTTTCAATTTCATAGATATAAATGTCGGATGACTGAGAATTTTGATACAATCTTCAAAAAAGATGATCATAACTTATTCCTTACTTCTGCTTGCCCCAATTCAATGTTGTTTACAACTTTCACGCTAAAAATAAAAGGACGCATGACCTTGACATTGTTTACATTGACAATAAAAACAAAGCGACAACATTTGTTTTTCCGGCACTTATATTTTGCAGTTTTTTTCTTGCTTTACAGTGCAGTTGAATTGTCAAAACTTCGCTATATTTATATTTCACAGAAATCTTTTGTTTTTTGATAAAATTTTCTTAAACAAAACACATGGTTTTGACTCATTATGCAACTTTAAGAAATACGTAGTAAGGACTTTCCGGTCACTTAGACATATCCATGGTATTCAAGATATCCATGTTCGAGATATCGAAGTTCAACTGTATATTTAATATATCCTTTTTCCTGCATAGAAAATAAAATGCTTGACTGTACAAAATATGTATCTCATGAAACTTTAAAATAAGGTTTTTTTATGAATAATTGAAGACATATTTTCTATCAGTCTGTATATGAAAAATTGTCACTGTAGTGTAATGTTGTACACTTTGATGTCTCTTATTAAAATTAATAATTCATTATTTGAAATCCACTACTGAATGGTGTAAACATTTAATTTCTATATTCTTAGGAGAGTTTCAACAGTAGGAAAATGTTTACCATTTAATGTGAATTTTATCAAAAGATGCCAGGAAATAAATGATTTTTCAAGAAATTGATTTGATTGGCAGTTATAATTACTACAAGATTTATTTACTCTAAAATTAATTATCATTGAAGGCTCTAAGAATTTTCCACAAGCAGTACAGGAACTGAAGATGTTCTTTAAAGATGGTCTGTGCTGTAATGATTCAGAGGATCTGAGAGACATTGAGGTAAATTAACACTTTAATATTAATGATAATCACAAAATCTTTGTCAGGGCAGGATTCTCTAATAAATGAAAGTCATCAAAAATGAAATATACACAGAAATATTGTTTTTCTGTTCAAATCCAGGACTATGATAATAACGACGAAGAAGAGGTATTCCCTGTGTATTTGATTTTTTGTTCTTATTCATGGTCTTTTTCAAAAATGAAAAATAGAATAATTCAGGAAGGCAGTTCTGTTTAAGAATTTCAGTTTTATGCATGAATTAGCTTTGTTTTAAGGTCATTTAGGCGACCTATTGCTTTGGTTTTTCCTGTACATTTTACTTAACCAAGAAACTGTTAGTGTCATTTTTATCAATCTTTGTACTCTGATACATATTGATGACAACAATATGTCACATTTCTGACCTCGAGATTCTGTATGACCTTGACCTCACTTTTTAATTATCTCATTTTGCTCTTTTGAATGCATACAAATTTCCAACTGTTTTTATTATCTTAATTAACGGCTTTATTTATTAACATTTCAAATCAAATGAACCTGTTTATTCCAAATATGAGAATTTTTTTGTGAAGACATCTTTTAAAATGAAGTTAAGAGATTGTATATATATTTGTATATATATAGGGAGAAAAAATTTGAGACAATAAGAAATCATTTAGCTATGTGGATATGATGCACTTTTAATACATGTTCCACTTACCAGCAATAGCCAATAAGGAAGCATGAACCTTGTACCTATGTTCAACAAATTTCACAATTTTTGTATGGGCTGATAGTTCATCTTGCAAACAAAGTGTCTATTAAATGCCCACTATGTTGTCTGATCATATATTTACTAAGGAAGTTTTATTAATTTTAATAAATTTTCATCATGAATTTATAAAAAAATCCATAAATTCCAAAGGTTTTACACAACACATCTGAAAACTGAAGTGGGCAACGGCTGTGGACACTGTTTTCTTAGGGGAATAACCCCTGAAATGAGTCATTTTGAGGCTTTTCCTGTCTAAAACTTAGAAATGTACCAAATTAATGATGTCATATTTCCAGAATGGTCCTCGAGTTCAAAAATTTTTTAATACTCGAGTAACTCAGGTGACCTAAACATTGTACATTCTTCTATCACCAGTAACCATAACATTATTCATCAAAATTAAGAGTCCATAAAGAAAAATGTGTCTTGTTATGATTTTGTCTTCCTGTGTGATAAGATTTAGTGAAATCAGAAAAGTATAATTTTTGAAAAAATACTAGCTCCTTCATGCCATATTCTTTTATGATTTATCACATTCATATAATCAACCCATATTTAAGCTAATTTCATAACTTTTTGAAAACATTTAATTTTGAGGGCACAATAAAGCCCAAACCATACCTTCTTCTGCCTTAATTTGCATGTATTTGATAGTTTTTGAATATGAAAGAATTGAAGAAACATTAGATGGAAACTCAGACTTAAAGCAGTACACTTGCATATAAGCTTCATAGCTCATTTATTTAGGAGAAAAGATGCCTACCTCCAAATGATATTGTCACATGAGAATCAAGGAATATAACCAGTGTTTCTCTAACATTGTGTTGAGGGTACCTGTTTCTTGGACTTGAGGAAGAGTACTCTCCATAAGCTAACATTTTCCCCTGTTTTAAAAATAGGCATTCTTAAGCTCATTTTAATTTTTTTTCCAGCTGTAGACAGTGAATAAAAATAAAAGTAAGCAGTATTCTTTGGCTAATATTTTCTCTTGTTATAGATACTTGGCCCAGCAGTAGACAGTCTTATAGACGTTTCTACTGGAGACAAAAGAACTGTTCAAGTTACAGACATACCTGGAGACAGAGAACACTCTGCTATTGGTATACTGTTAATATACAAATTTATCTGATGGCACATTTGAAATGTAGAATACCAAATTACCAATAGTAAAGTGAAGACATTTAAATCAAAATAAGATGGTTAATATATACATGTAGTTACACTTGAGTGAGATAAAGGGTACCATAATTAAAAGGACATATTTATTAATAATTCATTTTTCATCTACCAGAACTGTGATACATTTTGGTCATATTTTCTTGTTAGAGTTTTTTTCTTTCTTTTTCTTTTCTTTTTGACACTGGGTGGACATTATTTTTCATGCAGACATCCCTTAATGATTTTCATTCTTGTAGGAGTATACAGTAATTACATCATTGTTAATATTTCCAAAAAGAAATCAATGAATTAATTATGTTGCATTTCCTGTACAGAAATCCAGTTATTACTACAGACCACATGTATTGTGCTGAAGCCTCCACTTCTGAAGATCCATGACAGAGGTCACTATGCTTATGTTGACATTGTGGAGGAACTTCTGAAACAAGAGTAAGTATAAAGGCTGACTAATTAATGATCACTCTGTAGGAATAAGAGGTAGGAATAAATGATAGTTAGTCAGTAAAGCATCTAACACAAGTATAACAACAGTACTGAATAATAGTCACTCTGTAAAACATCTAACACAAGTATAACAACAGTACTGAATAATAGTCACTCTGTAAAACATCTAACACAAGTATAACAATAGTACTGAATAATAGTCACTCCGTAAAACATCTAACACAAGTATAACAACAGTACTGAATAATAGTCACTCTGTAAAACATCTAACACAAGTATAACAACAGTACTGAATAATAGTCACTCTGTAAAACATCTAACACAAGTATAACAACAGTACTGAATAATAGTCACTCTGTAAAACATCTCACACAAGTATAACAACAGTACTGAATAATAGTCACTCTGTAAAACATCTAACACAAGTATAACTTACAATAGCAATGAATAATAGTCATGCTGTAAAACATCTAACACAAGTATATCAACAGTACTGAATAATATTCACTCCATAAAACATCTCACACAAGTATAACAACAGTACTGAATAATAGTCATGCTGTAAAACATCTAACACAAGTATAACAACAGTACTGAATAATAGTCACTCCGTAAAACATCTAACGCAAGTATAACAACAGTACTGAATAATAGTCACTCTGTAAAACATCTAACACAAGTATAACTTACAATAGCAATGAATAATAGTCATGCTGTAAAACATCTAACACAAGTATATCAACAGTACTGAATAATATTCACTCCATAAAACATCTCACACAAGTATAACAACAGTACTGAATAATAGTCATGCTGTAAAACATCTAACACAAGTATAACAACAGTACTGAATAATAGTCACACTGTAAAACAAAAACATCTAACACAACTATAACAACAGTACTGAATAATATTCACTCTGAAAAACATCTAACACAAGTATATCAACAGTACTGAATAATAAGTCACGCTGTAAAACATCTAATACAAGTATATCAACAGTACTGAATAATAGTCACGCTGTAAAACATCTCACACAAGTATAGCAACAGTACTGAATACAAGCATTACAATAGCACTAAATAATAATCATGCTGTAAAACATCTCGCACAAGTATATTTACATCAACTGAATATTATTTCCTTTATTTCTTATAAATACCATTGCCATTAATCAGTCCATAAACAACACTATGCAAGCCACCAGCAAAGATTTCTTAAGCAACGGCTGTTCCATAAATTATACATACAATGACATACACATCTATAATACAATATTTAACATATTTAATTTAGTTTGAATGTTTTTTTTTTTATAAAGATATGAATATAAACAATAAAATGCCTTTCTTTGTTTGTTAGTACGGGAATTAAAATATCTAAACAAGTATAACAACAGTACTGAATAATAGCCACACTGTATATATTTTACACAAGTATATCAACAGTAATGAATAATAGTCACACTGTAAAACATCTCACACAAGTATATTAACAGTACTGAATAATAGTCACTCTGTAAAACATCTCACACAAGTATATTAACAGTACTGAATAATAGTCACTCTGTAAAACATCTCACACAAGTATAACAACAGTACTGAATAATAGTCACATTGTAAAACATCTAACACAAGTATAACAACAGCTCTGAATAATAGTCACTCCGTAAAACATCTAACACAAGTATAACAACAGTACTGAATAATAGTCACTCCGTAAAACATCTCACACAAGTATAACAACAGTACTGAATAATAGTCACACTGTAAAACATCTAACACAAGTATAACAACAGCTCTGAATAATAGTCACTCCGTAAAACATCTAACACAAGTATAACAACAGTACTGAATAATTGTCATGCTGTAAAACATCTAACACAAGTATAGCAACAGTACTGAATAATAGTCACTCTGTAAAACATCTAACACAAGTATAACAACAGTACTGAATAATAGTCACTCTGTAAAACATCTAACACAAGTATAACAACAGTACTGAATAATTGTCATGCTGTAAAACATCTAACACAAGTATAACAACAGAACTGAATAATAGTTGTGCTGTAAAACATCTCACAAAAGTTTAGTAACAGTAATGAATGATAGTCACTCTGTTAAACATCTAACACAAGCATTTCAGTAGTACTGAATAATAGTCACACTGTAAAATAGCTAACACAAGTATAACAACAGTACTTATATACTAGTAATAGGGCTGTGCTATGCATGTACTATGCCTAAATGTTTACATTTGCTGTGTTTTTTTAATTGAATAAACTATGAAATTAATTTGAATGCCATTTTCATGTATAGTCACACATAGAAATATACATGGAGAAATGTGTGTTATTGTGACATCACAAGTATAAAACAGCAGTACTGAATTTTAGTCACTCTGTAAATTACAAGTATGAAACAGCAGTACTCTACTGAATAATAGTCACTCTGTTAATAATCTATCACACGTATAAAACAGCAGTACTGAATAATAGTCACACTGTTAATAATCTACCACAAATATAAAACAGCAGAACTGAATAATAGTCACTCTGTAAATAACCTATCACAAGTATAAAACAGTAATACTGAATAATAGTCACTCTGTAAATAACCTATCACAAGTATAAAACAGTAATACTGAATAATAGTCACTCTGTAAATAATCTATCACAAGTATAAAACAGCAGTACTCTTCTGAATAATAGTCACTCTGTAAATAATCTATCACAAGTATAAAACAGCAGTACTGAATAATAGTCACTCTGTTAATAATCTAACACAAGTATTAAACAGCAGTAGTGAATAATAGTCACTCTGTAAATAATCTATCACAAATATAAAACAGCAGTACTGAATAATAGTCACTCTGTAAATAATCTATCACAAGTATAAAACAGCAGTACTGAATAATAGTCACTCTTTGAATAATCTATCACAAGTATTAAACAGCAGTACTGAATAATAGTCACTCTTTAAATAATCTATCACAAGTATTAAACAGCAGTACTGAATAATAGTCACTCTTTAAATAATCTATCACAAGTTGGGAGATTGCTGGTAATCATTACAAGAGCATTTTTGACCAAGATGATGTATTAAAAAGTTAATCTTTAAAAATGAAAAATGAATCATGAATTAGAAAACAACAGACAAAAATGTAGCAATTTTTTTTTTTGGTAACAGATTTGAGATAGTTGGAGCAAGAATGGTTTGGTTTACACAGGAACAGGCTGAAGTCTTCCTTCATATCGTCAATGCTGGCAGCTATAAACAGGTAAACCTGGGAACATTTGAATTCTTATTTAATCCAAGTTATTATGTTAAATGGTTTTCAATAACTGTCACAAATAAATGTCAGTATTCGTTCATTGAGATGTGATTAGATTTCTCCTTAGTCTGTACAGCATTCTCTTGATCATGTGTGGGCAAAAATCATTTCTTCCCTACTTAATCCATCCATTGTCAGTCAGGGCTAAACAACTGAAATAGGACTAGCCGTTATACCCAGGGGGCTCAAGGATTGGAGCAGATTTCATAAAACTATTGTACATGAACAACACTTAATGTTCAAGTCGGAGAGTAAATTGATAGCTGAATATGGAGAGATAAGATGATTTGATTAAGTTTCCCATTTCTTAATTACAGAACTGCATTTACTACATGAAGACAAATATTTCTACTTAATACATTTGGAATAAAAACCTCAACTGTATTAAATGACTCATTGCAATATAAACAACTTAAAAAATCATTTCAAGAGATAGTTTACCCCCCCCCCCCCCCCCACACACACACACACACACAAATTAAAAATAAGCAAACAAACATTTATTTGTATAGCTTAATCTGTCACAATTAAATGATCTGGTGAAGTTTTAATCATTGCAAGTAATTTATATTTGTTGATATATATTTTTATCTTTTAAGGCCCCTATGTTGCTGTCTGGACCGTCTCTTGTCTTTGCACTACAGAGAGATAATGCTGTTCTTTCCTTTGACTCCATTCTAGGAAGGTAAGTTCAAAAGTGCAGCCTACATTTAAAGAGAATTAGTCAAGAAATAGCACGTTTTATGCCTGACATTTGCAAAGAACTTAATGAAGTTCTTTATTTAGTGTGATGTAATTTGTTTTACTGTCATTACTGTATTACATTGGTGTGAGATTGGCACCTCCCTGTGACATCACAAAGCACCTTATGCTTACATTACAGCCTGAGCTTGCTCTTAATTGAATCACCAACTTATTACAAGAGCTCATTATCTTGATCTGCAAGTGTTGACTGCACAACTAATTTAATGAAAGGGATGAAAACATTGAGGATGTTGTGCTAATTTCAAGGGCCATTCAAAAGCTTTTTAGTTGGATATATATGTATTGTCTTTTTGTCCTTTTATGGACTGCATGATCAAATGCATCACAAGATCAGAGCTGGTGCCACAAGATTAGAATTGGTGCCACAGTTCTACTACTGAAATATAAAGGTCTAATTAAGATATACGTCATTATTTTGTTCCCAATAAAATGTTTCACAGGCACGAAAGAATATTTTTTTAACATTTTGTTCATGGTTGCATATAATTTTATGGTAATATGTATGACAATATACATTGTATTATTATTCTTAATGGACTGGTTCATCAGTTTTCTATCATCAATACCAAATAAACAGAAACACAGCATAAAAATGATCAGCTATTGAGAATACAGTGTTTATGAATATTTAAAGTAGATAAATTGCAATTTAAAGAATTCTTGATTTCTTTTATGTAGCAACTTTGGCGCAGATTCCATCATTGGTAAATATGGAGGAGGCATTTTCCGACCATCAGACATAAAACAGGTACTGATCCATAAATAAATCCTAAAACATATGCCATTACATTTTGTTTCTTATGGAACAAAATAGAAAGTTATATTTAATTAAACCTGATACAATTCTGCTGTACAAAATAAAATTGTGTCATACTTCTAAATGTAATAAAACTGTCAATTGTTTCTCACAAGTTAATTTTTTTCAATTTTCTAAACGATTTAAATGCTTCATTTGATAATGTTTCATTATCAAATTGCCATGTCATCTGTAATCTTAACTCGGCAAATTAAATCCTTATTGCAGCAGTACAGCATGTTGCACTCAAAAGCATGCAAATTTGAAAATATTTAAAACTGAAACTTACACTGGTGTTTGATTGGCATTGGGTAATTTTACCGGTTAGATATGATATAGGTATTTATTTATAGCATGCATATTTTCCAAATAAGACTCAGAAGGGGATTGCTGCTGCAAGCAGATGTGATTAATAGATAATTAAGAAATCAATAATGAGACTGGTCCTTTTGTGATCAGGGTATTTATGAACATCATAACTTATGTAAGATGATCAGATATTTATTCCCTGATTTGGCAGCTGATCTTTAGGTTTCATAATTAATACCTTGCATTTATGATAGCACATGGATTAATGGCCAGATTACACATAACAATTGATGTCATTGACAAAATATGAAATATTAATGTTAAGTATTGGAAATATAGGATGATTGAGTATACTATAGAGCTACAAGCTAATTTCCGAAGACTTTTTAATTTTTCATTCCTCTTTATAGTTTTAGTCTTAAAAACTAAACTGCAGAGTTTTAAGGATGATGGACCTAATTCAATTCTCCTCAGAGCATACAGTTATAACTAGCTCATATATTTAAGTATGAATTGTTTATAATACATTCAGGTCAGGATTTATCTATCCTAGATCTTTTGTACCACCATTGCACAAAATTTGCCTCAAATATAAATAGTAATTACAATATTTTTTCTCTGTAGATGTTTCAATAACAAACAAAAACCCATTGAATCTTGATTGTTAAAATGAGAATTACATGTAAAACCTCTTAAATGTATAAAGAAACAGAGTGCAATGGACATTCTCCATAAACACCCATAAAGAGTTGTAAGATTCACTGGGGGCCTTATTTGGCTCTATAAAATTCTGGAAGATCAAAACTGTTCAATTTTAGTTGACAACACTTCAAATATCATTTGAACCCATGATGATTTTACAATATCTACAAAAAAATGATGTGATTTTTATAAAAAAAATTTTGCTATTTGAAACCCAAAATATGTGTCCGATCAAAAAGTAAAACAGGAGGCGCACAATAGCACTGTATGATAAAGATTCTGTGAAAGTATCATATAATTTTATTCTGTGGTATAGGAGGAGTTGCAGATAAGAAATGGGTACCCCTCAATATTATAGAAAAAATGGCAGTGTCTATGTTTTGCTCTTTGTTACATAGTGCCATTGTGCACCTCTGTACTTCTTGATTTGACACATATTTCGGATTTCCAATAGCAAAACATAGACACTGCCATTCCTTCCATATATTGAGGGGTACCCTTGCCTTATCTGCAACTCCTCCTATACCACTGAATAAAATTTATAAAATTCATAGTTAAAATCATCCATATGTTGCTAGTTTCAGAATGGAAACAAATCTCAGAAAACGACTCAGTATCAATGAATTTTCTTCATCCTAGGTACCTCTTGCTTTTGAAAGCAGACTAATATATAAATGTTATTCACCAGTCCTAGAAATATTTTAAGTTGTTGATATATATCATGAGAGCTGGCTTGTGCTCAGAGTCTTTTAAAAGGCCCTCTTTTGAAAGAAATTTAGTAAGATTGAGAAAACGTTTAGTGTCAACCTTATATCCATATCTATTATAGTTTTGCTGTAAACATGGAGATACTTGTTTATTTTGCAATAATAAAGGTCTAAATGAAAATTAAGACTGCCAAAAAAAAAAAAAACAAACAAACAAACAAAAAACAAAACAAAAAAGCATACAAAGACATGAAATTGATTTTACATAGATGATACAGTGTTTGATTTTTCCACAAAGGAATAAGGATTAATGTTGCTAACTTTCTCTGATTACAAAATTTGCAAAAATAATCCAAAGACAAAAATTTTAATGCTTAGTTACAGAATGTAAATGAATGTAAATTATAAATGATTTAACAAAATCAGCATGAACAACAAAAGTTGCAAGCAATAAAATGTGTTCATTTTATGACAATTATTGATGTTCCTATGAAGTTATTGATGAAGGACTATTATGAAATCTACGTTAAATCAATGTATACATGTATAAATAAAACAACTCTTCTAACCACAATGGGAAGTATGTGAATTTAATAGACCTTCAATGCAAAAATGAAATTTCTTTGAGAATCAGCATGTTTTGCCATTGTTGATTGATAGTAATATGCTTTGTCTGCTGAAGTCCTTTAAGAATTGATTATGTTCTCTACGAACATGCTTCTCAGGCATGAAATGGGTGCTATATGTTGATTATATAGTGGTCATAACATGGAATGTAGGAGTCTATGTGCCACAGACCATTACAATACCATCACTCACTTGTCTGATCTGTAAACTGTACCTAGTGAAGAGCATTTGTTGTGTTCTCAAAACAATGGAAGAAAAGAATACCAATACCATTACGCAGCGTCTCATGTAAATTTCATGTACAATTTTCATGCTACAAGTACTTTGACTTTGTTTTCTACAAAAGAAGTCGATCAGTTGTTATTACTCTTAATTATATGATCAAAGATAAGTTAAACCTTGAATTTAACTTTTCAATTATGTACAGCAGTAAAAATAGTTAAAGAGAGCATCTGTAATGTGTCAGTCCATATAGCTTAATGAATTAGATAATTCTGTCCCACAGGGAAATAAAAGAATAAAGAAATAAATCATGCAGCATTAGTGACATATTGCGACATCTACTTTCAATAAAGATTAACCTTGCTCTATAGTTGACCGCTTTTATTCAGGTGACTGACATTAAATGTTCATGAGATTCTGTCTTTAATATTGGATTAAGCGTTGTTTTGGTTGGTGTGTCTGTAATTCCTACCTGCTATTTCTTATTCCATGTGGAGATTTAAGAAGATCACCCAAGCATGCCCTTTCTATATATGTCGGTCTCCCCTTTTTCTCCAGCTATTGTTTTTCATCATATTTTCTGTGATTTGTTTTCCCCATTTTAACCTGACCTAGCATGTCCACTGCCCAGCATTGTTCAGTACAATTTTAGGTAGTTTTTTTTTTAAAGCTTTGCAAAAAGAATCACAGAGATTGTAAAGTGTCCAAAGCAAAATGTTGAATAGTATTAGCCAATTGAGCTTCAAAATGCCACATCAAGTGACATGCAATTTTATTTCCACTCAACAACTTACAAGAACGAGCGGTAAACGCTAAGAAGTAAATCTATACATTTGTTACACCACTGCATTGGTCCGGTGGTCCCTCTAAATCTTGCGTTGGGGATTGGTTTAAAACAATTGATATAAAGTCTGAACAAATTAAAATCATTAACCTTTATCTTTTTGCAAATTTTGAAAAAAGTAATTTTTGAATAATGATCTCTAATATGTGTCATATTAACGTTCGAGGGTCGTTCAATGAATAATGCAAAAGGTCATAAAAAAAGAAAAGCACAAAAAGCAGTTTCTTTGTATCTAATCCTTCAAAGTTTTCCCTGTTAACCTTCACACTGTCTCAGGTGTCTCAGGTCTCTCTACTCATAACGGAACACCCCAGCACTCTTTTTTTTTGGGGGGGGGGTAACCCAAAAGACACTGATGGATAACACATCCCATGACAGATCTAAACTAACAGCGTCTTACTTTGATGGTCTTCTTGAGTTTTTGGAATTAAAAAAAAATGTCAAAATGGCTGAGATTTAGCAAATATGGGGATGGCTGACCTTCGTAAACATTCCCTTCTCCAAAGTTTCCTTTACATCTCTATGCCTATTTGCAGCAGTGTTGTTAACTACAAGAAAACAAGAAAATCATCCCGGGTACCGGTATTTGAACTTCTCTAACAGAACATCTGCTTATCTTTCCTCAATACAATTTTAACATAAAAGCTACCATTGATGGTCCTTTCTTTGGGTAAAGGTACATGTATCACTTGACCTTTCGAATAATAAGAAAGACCCATACAAGATCGGTTTGGAGCTATGGTTTCTCTGCAATAGTAGGACGTCAGCTTCCTCTCTCATTACACATTCTATTATTGACCTTTCCTTTGGCCTACAAACACCGCACCCATGTTTCGTCACCCATCAAGCAGGTTTATCATACCTTCTTTTGTTAAAATATTTATATTTTATTGACCCTTGGCACATTTGATGCGCGTTTTCTTGTAGGTATCTGTAAGGAAATAATGCACTTATTTGACAGAAATATTTGTTTAGATTCATTTCCTTCATCAGAACTCGATCAACTGTTGTGATGCTGTAATGTTAAGTGTCAGCAACATCTCTCACTGTAAATCTGGCATTTTTCAGATATCTTGTTGCTCACAGCGTCGATATATTTTGGTGTCCCTACAGATCTCGATCGACTTCGACCTGAAGTCCCCCTCTCCACTTTTGAATTTTCTAATCCACATGAACAGCATACTGCCTGAAAGACTAGTGTTTCCAGATATCAAAACCATATCTTCATTTGAGTTCTTCGGTGATTTTTGTAATGAACCGCGGTATTTACTTAAACCTCGTTTTCATCTTCTTGACAGAAAATTTTTTCAAACAGTTTTAAGCTCAGTGAAGTGACCATGCTTACTTTAAAAGTGAATTTCTTTGCGAAGAGAGTAGAAAAAGAAACATGCGGTTTTTGGTGATTAAGAGTTCTTAAAAAGAACTTATCTAGAATTTAAAAAAATATATAAAATTAACTGTTTCAACATTTATTACGATAAACTGTATGTTGCATTACTGAACGACCCTAGTATCTTGTAATACTTTGCAAAGCAAATAGA